AATTTCTTGTTTTCTCTTGTCACAAGCTGTCAGCATATGTGTATCTTGCGGACATGAAGAACAGCCCATGTAACATTCTCTGTAAGGACTCAGAGTTATGAATATGTTCAACTTTATTGAAGTGTCTGGATTGCTATACTGCACTTAGGACGTAGTGGCTAAGAAAGATACAAATTCTAATATTGACCTTTTTTTTCTTCTAGATTGAGAATTATTTCAGTGGATCTGCCTAATATTCCCTTAATGTGAGGTAGTAAATGATACACGGCCACAGTGCTCACTTCGCTAAAATCAGGGACTGAAGAAATGAGGTTAAATTTTAAGATAAAAATTAGGGTTTAATTTCTAACATCACCTTTTCTTGTGACGTGCTTTTAGTGGAGTCTCGATCTCACAGACTATTTGGGATTCTGTTTTCCTCCTCCTGAAGCAGTTTGTTGTTATTGCTGATGAGTTCATCAAACTGTAAAAATGAGTCACGAATGGAGGTTGGACGTTCCCCTTCAAGATGGATTACAGCTCACAAAGTACCGTATGCTTATTAGAGAAATCAGTGTGGAGGTCCTGTGGCCATTGTTATGCAGGAGGACAGTCCCCTTTGACCTTAAAATCTGTGTGTGTAGAGATGAGAGGACCCTTACTGTGTCTTACAGAATTTTTTTCACCGTTAATTAATTTTGGAGACCTTACATGGAAATCAACTTCCTGGTGGTTCTTTATGTTTGCCATGGACAGTATGTATGTGATACTTCATAAGGCAACTTCTGTTATGGCTGTGTTCCGTTTGCCTTACAGAATCTGTAGGAAAATTACAGAAACACTCTGATGTGTTGCAAAAGACAAGTGCAAAACTTTTATATCAAGATAAGTAGTACACTGCTTAGAAGGTCACAGCTGTGGAGCTTGACGCAACTTTTTGAGACTTCACACCTTCATTTTGATGCCAGTCCCCTTTTCCAGAGCAAATCTGGTCAGACAGCATTCTTTATAATGCATCTGATGGCATTCTCTTGTATCACGGAGAAAACCACTCATCAAGAAGCCCTAAGAAACAGTATGGACCTGTTGTACTAAAAATGTTTTCTCACTGAATGAGATTGATAAAAATAAAATTAGAAATACAGAATTATATCAACATCTTCAACATGTCAATGCTGGGTGCTATTCTTGTCTTTGACTTCTCAGTCAGTTGAAGTTGCTGCATTTTGAAAGAGATAAAAGAGCAATAAGGAGCAATAAATACTGTTGGAATTTTGGAAAGCTTGTATTTTGTAGGAGTCAAAGTTCCTGTGCTTAGCTCAACAAGAAGGTTGATGTGATCTGTTGTGTGAAATGTATACACTAGAAGAATATGATCAATTTAACTTCTGTCCCAGTACTCAAACAAGGGAATGATTGCATGGCCGTAACACTACTAAAAGCTAAAAGGATTTTGAAAATATATTAGTTCTGAAGTTCCCTGCCACTAGATAGTGAGGCAGAAAAGGAGAAAAATTAAAGATGAGGCCGTAGTATGAAGAATATCTGTAGGTATTCTTACCTTCTGGGTAAGAAGGAAATACGTAAGCCCTCCTACTCCAGAATAAAATCACCAAGTATTAGGAATTTCCCCGGTGGGTATCTTATTGCATAACTGTCCATTATAGTTTTTTATATCTACTACTAGATGGACCATTGGTCTGATTTAGTATTGAAACTAGTCTTTCTACCACCATTTTCTCTTAGGAATACTTCCCATCTAAGTCTGCGATGTCATTTGAGTTAATTCATTAATTTTCATTGGCTTCTTCGCTGTTTTAAGCTGGATGCACTGTCAAACCAATTAAGGTACCTTACAGGAGTTGAACCTCATTCTGGATCCTCTCTGAAGGCTGCTTGCCCACTGATCCATCTCAAATGCTTCCTGCTCACTTGGGTTGAGGAGTCGAAGACAACCATGGAGGAGACTTGGTTGCTTTGATCACTTCTGCACAGGTAGCTGCAGTACTGTAACTGTGCTTCCTGCCCGATTCAGTCTGGCTTTGACTGCGTTCTGCTGTTTATTTCCCCAGTACTCTGCAAGGAATTCTGCTTTTCTGTTTATCTTTTAATAAATAAGAGGAGAAAATTCAGTATCTCTTTCATTCTCCCATCTGCTTCATTTATTTCCCCTAATTTCTCCAGCCGTACAAAACCCATTTTTCTAACAACTGATTTTCAGAGAATGAATTTCAGATATGTATGGTCTTGGGAAAGCTATTTTGGCCCAGTATGAAAACTTTGTTAATGACACTGCAGTACAAAATATCTTTGCCCTTATGTATTCTGTTGCATTTACTCTTCAAAATGGTACATTTTATACACCCGCCGTTGACTCAGCATGGGGCAATAGATAATACAGCAAAACAGCAATGAAAACAAAGTATTGTCTTCTGCTCTAGTAATAAAACTCATGCCATATTTTGTTCCTAACTTTGCTAGAAGCAGCTTTATAATTTCATGTTGACAAAACAACAAGAAGGGAAAGTGAAGGTAAAAACTGGGGGAAGGGAGGTGGAAGCTAAAGTGTGGGACTGCAGTAACAGGGTTTATCACAGCCAGAATGGAGTGTGAGTGTGAGAATGCCTTTGCCTGAAATCTGCTTCTTGCATGCCAAAGGATGGATGAATGCTATTTTTGTGTGGCATTTCTAAATGACTGCACAGTGCGGCCCTGTGTGAGCAATGTCAGGTCTCTCGTATGAAATGTCTTATTATCATAAAAAATGAAAATAAAGTATCAGAATTTACTCCTCCCTTAGCTGAGAGTGCCCATCTTAGATACTGCTTATTTCTTTCTGTGTTCCTCCTGGCTGTAGTCTTTCTTCTCTGGAGTATTAGGAAGCACAAGAGTGGCCATGGCCACCAGTGCAAGGTTCTATCAACTTCAGGTCGTCCTCAGTCCCATGAACTCTCAGGTCCTTGAGCGTCCCGACGTATAAACACAGATCCATGGGTTGGGAGCAGTGGAAACCATCTGCTTAAACTCCTCAGAACATGATGAAGGACTCTGTTTTTTTAATAACATGTCAGAGATAAGCTCTCCTACTGCGAATGACGACTAGTCCTGTATGTCCTTCTACCAGGCAGCTTGCACGTGATGTCATGAGAACATTGTGATTTGCAGCGTTGACCCCCAAAAGCATAAATCTTTTTGGTGTCACAGCATAACCGTGAGTAAGGAGCTGAAGGGTAAGGCTCAGGTCACGTAGCCAGGTCATGTAGCCACAGGCTACAAGGAAAGGTCTCACCCCTGGATGCTATTTGCTTACCCAGTTATAGTAAAGCTATAGAAAACACAGGTGCAGGGAGCTGCATACTCAAGCAAAACTCCCATGACAAAATATGATAATTGTTCCTTAAAAGGTTATCCGATTGGTCAGCAAAGAGACAGGGTCCCAGAAGTACCGTCAGAGGGTAATTTCAAAGGGCGTCCAAGAACACAGCACTCTTGGGGCTCCTGTGGTGTTCTTAGCCTGGAGCACAGCTTTCACTCTCAGCCCTGTCTCCCCCTGACCAGCCCCATTAGTGGCAGCACAAAGCCCATCTTGGCTAGAAGAGCTCTGTGCGTTGAGCCAGGATGGGAGCAGCATCCCTGAAACAATGCCTTGGCTTTTCCTGGGCTGTTTTAGTGAATAAAGGAAACTGAAACACTATCAGAAGTGGTACAGATCCAAGGAAAATACGAGTACAGACACCGCTGGTTTCAATGTTAGACCTACAGGCCGCCTGAGACCTAAGAATGTTCTTCATTTTTAGGATGGTAATATGGGGCCTTCTGCTCAGTATGCCCTCCTTTTCTCCTTCTTCTCCACTCGATATCTTGATCTCAAGCACTTGCAGTTCCTCAGTCTTAAGCTAGTGTTCATGTCCTTGGATTCCTGGAGACCCTAGCTGTATGTTTTCAATGCCATTTAATAGCCCTTTTTACTAGCCAGCATTTAAGCAGAAGAAAAGGGGAAAAAAAAGGAAAAACAATACGCAAAGGATTACACTAAGCCATTTTTTTTTCTACCTCTCTGAATGTTTTAGGTGTTCTTCACAACCCGTTTGCTTAATCACTCCCGCCAGCTTCATTTGGAGCCTACAAGATGATGGTCAGATCCAATTTAACATCTCTGGAAGCCTCTTAGCTTTGTACAGTGACACGGGAACTCCTCCTCACTTTTACACAATCAGTTAGAGCCTTCATTTAGTGAAATGTGGGAGAGCTTGTACGGTTTTTTTCTGTCAATGTATGTGTAATTTGCAAAGGTGCAGGACTGTGGCTGCTTGGGTGCTGCAGGCTCTGTCACTCCGTGCTGCGATTAATAGTTTGCTGCTCTTGTTGCAAAATTGTGGCTCTGGGCTTTGTTCTATTTTTATGCTCATCCTATATGCATCTGTTCTCACTTTATTCTGCATCCTGTTGCCAACCTCCTGCTCATCTGTCTTTGCCATCTTTAGACATCTTCCACTATCAGGTTGACACCACTGTGCCATCAAAAGAATTACTTCTGAGTTATGCCAGTAAGTAAAGACTTCAGGCTTTTGTTTTGTCTCTCTCACACGCACCACTCTTTTTTTGCTGGGTACAATTGGACCTTCAATCCAGTATAGGTGTGCACTTGTTGTCAAAACTCCTTGCCATCAAATGCCAAAGTGAAGTCATTAATGTCCACATCACTCTCTTTCTGGGCACCCTTGTATCAAGCACCAACGCAGCATGGATGGAAAGGATGTTCTGAGGAGGAGCAGGTCTGTGCTTTTCCCATTGAGCTGATGTGCATGCTAACAGCACGCTACATGGCTGCACTGTCAAAAGGAAGAAGGTACTTTGTTTGAGGAAGTGCAGTGATGGGTCAACACGATGCTGTGAGATCTGGGTGCTGTCAGCATGTGCTGTGTTCCTGGATTTCTGGGTGCAGTGCTACTGTGGGCAGTGTGGGTCATCACAAGCTACTGCTTGGAAATAGCACAAACATTTTTGGGGCTTTGACTTACTTTCAGAGAGATGTGGACCATCAGAAGTCGAGGTCTCATGGAAAGCCAAAGGTGGGCTGGTTAACAGAGTTCCAGATCCTTTCTGAAACCGAATTCAAGATGAATTTTCAAAATCCTGGTGTGCCTTCCCAAGCCATAGCTACTTTTGAAATGTCAATCTTAGATTTATATTATCTGAATAATTATAATGGATTTAGTAGTATCATTTGATTATGCATGTAGACTCATGCTTATAAAATTGTTGATGTAGATAATTGCATGAGAATTAGATAAGAAAAGAGAGATTTCAGTTGTTTGAAGGACCAGACACAGAGGTCCCAGACCTGCAGACCTCTATTTGTGCAGGGATTCTTGGCAAGCACTGATAGCCACCCCAGCACGAATGCTTTGTAGAAAGCTTTGGTGAAATAACAAAAATGTTCTACTTACATATGTGTGATAATTCAGTGGCTCTCAGAGATGTGTTTCCTCGTTCCTGGTATGAGTTTATGGTGTGGTCTCACGAAACAAAAGGCAACCAAAGATAGAAAGTGGAAACTCAGGCTGAAGAAGCTCCAATCAGTCATCACTGGATCCACCAAAATTTCCTTAACTCTTGCTGTGATCGCAAAAACCACCATCTAAAATTCGGACATTTTCTCTCTAACAGAAAACAAAGGAGGGCCATATGCACGAGAAGGCAGTAGGAAGCCTGAAGCTATTAGTGTGTCATTGTCAAAGGCAGAAAGAAAAAACACAAAAGTTAAAGGATTCTGGAATATAGCAGAAATCTCCAGACATGAGTCAGACTCTAAAAATGCCCAAACTCATTTAAAAAGCTCTTTGTCACAGTCCAAAAAAACAACATTTTTAGTGTTTTTCCTTTTACTTTACATCCCGCTATTGCAAGTACATGGCTAATTATGATCTGAATGATATCTATTATTCCTGTGTCCTCCTAGATTGAGCCGGATGTGTTCCAAATATGGCCACAAACATATTACAGTGCGCAGTAAAATCAAAAGAATAAGATAATTCTGTTTTAAGGGTTAATGGTATTCACTCCCACTCAGTTTGACTCACTGGACAAAAGCTCCAGTGTGCCTATTCTCGGCAGCTGTGCTGAACAGTAAAGATTTGGAGTCCTTTGTAGGCTGGAGAAAAATAAAGTCTTTGTAAACTTTTTATTTAGTATATTCTACCAAACACCCATGTGTAACGGTTAAAACATTTGGAGTTGCAACAGGCTAAGGAAAGTTTGCACAGATAAACAGAGTTATTCTAAATTTTGTGCCTACTAAGGTCTGAATCACAAAGTCTTGATGCATTTCATTTAAAATGCATGTGCAAGAAATCATTTTTCTTACCAGGGCCATTGTATTCTCTGGGCTTTGTTTAATCACATTAAAAACGTTAACACAAAATAGCAAAATTATGTATGGTTTGAGTCACCACGTGTCTACAGTATGCTATGAGTGATCATGCTTTAGAAGAACACTGCTTTTGTGCTGCTGTAATTCTCTTTATTTCGTTGATGTTGTTCTTGGTTTGTAGTGATGAAGCCAAGCCAACACCTCTACACAGTAAGAACATCCAGGCGTATTCTTTCATTATCTGGATATGTCCCTCTGAAACAAAATAAGTGCTTGCATTGTGCTCTCATCCTTTGCGCTCTAGACTGAGAAGACACCAGAGTGCTTCAGTCCCAAAACAGCACTGCCGAACCAGAGCCATCTGCTCAGTGGGCTCCTCCTTGGGTTTGTTGCCTCTGCCGTGAACTCAAGGCTCTGAGATCCAGGCACCACAGCCATGTTGTCAGGCCAATACAAATGAGCCCTGCTGTTTTATCACTCGGACAAGAAGCAGAGAAGGATGAGGAGGACACAGAGAGATGGGAGCAGTGGTGGGAGGCACCCAGCCCAGCACCACCTTTACCTCCCCTGCAGGTTTGCAGGATGCCCGTGCTCCCAGCACACATCCAAGGCTGTCAGGCGTTCTGTCAGTCCTTCCATTTCTCTGCCTAGTTACCCACTATTTCACAGCCTGTTTTATGAGGTGTAGCGTTACTTCAGCAGCAAAGTATTGCCATCTTCAGCAGCTTTCTGTCCGAGTATGGAGTGTTGGCTTCTCCTGCCCAGGGCAGGCTGTTTCACAGGGATTCTGTCTTTATTTCCCATTTTTTAAAGTGCTCTGTGGACTGAAGGTGTCACAGAGGTGGTGTCCCCAGGAAGGAAAGCAGTGAGGAAATTACCTGTGTTCTGGGCTGATGTCCAAATCCTGAAATTCTTCCTTCATTTTCAGCCAGTAATACTCTCAGTAACTTGGAGTTCGTTTCATTAGAACCACCAAAAATTTGTCCAGAAGTCACAATTCAGGCCATAACTGAAGTGGGTGTTCAAGCACGTGGGTATGTCCTGTTCAGCTTAAGGCACTTGGGGATAATGTAAATATTTAGTTTTAACTTAAATATTTGCTTAATAGAAGTATGTCGCTGATGCCACAACCTGTTGTTGTGTCACTGTCTGAGGTATCTCAAGAGCATCAGAAATGAAATGCTGAAACAGCTTAAATCTGAGCTTTTGAAGTAAAGCTGTATTTTAAACCAAAATCTTTGCTAAGTCTTTAAGAAAGAGCCATGTATTTTCCATAGGGATTGAACATCCCCATGTTACCAAAGACTTTTGTCCTCTCACTCTTGCATGAATCTTGTTTCATCCAGGTATTCCAGTCAATAGGTAATGACATTCTTCACTGCATTTATTAAGAGCACAAAAAAATTGAAGGCAGTTACTTAACACTTTAAAAGCATATGTAGTGTTATTCGAGTTGCAATTATTTCAGATGAAGGGTTGTGCTTCTCTTAAACTGATTTTGATGTACAGATTTGCCCAACAATTTGAAAGCTGCAGACACTTTAGCATTCATGACACTATTATTCACTGCCATAAATCTAGATCAGATATGTGCTGTCTGAATTGATAGTGGGTATTCAGTCTGAGAAAAATGTGCTCCCCTTTAACTTTTAGCAGTGACATTGCTTATGTTACATCACTTTTCATGTTACTGTGCATCATATTGGTCAAAGATGTCATTATTTATAGCACAGAGATTGTGTCACTATAATTAAGGTTGTGTTAGGGCTTATATTACCTTATAAAAACTTTATTTTCAGGAGCCTGTGACTCCATAATCAAATTCATTTTTGTTCAAATTCCAGATTTGGCTCAAGAGGCTGTAGCTCTTCTACAGCAATGGATCTTTTTGCTTTTTGTCATTTGATTGTCTTACTATGGGCATCTGTGGAAAGTTCTTTCTAAAGAATGGCACACAAACACTATAAGGAAGTCTGCAGACATAGACTTAGCTGGTGTCAGTCAATACAACTTCCCTGAAGTGCTCAGAACCACTCAGATACATACAAAGAGGGGTGGATTTGTTTCGTTTTTGTTTTCATGTTTGTAAACACAAAGATGGAGACACGGGATGTAACTACAGCTTACTGAGAGCAGTCCTCAAGTTTGGAATGGTTCCTCTCAAAATGGACATCCTTAGAATCATAAATGTGTTGAGTAAAAAGCTCAGGTATTTTCTTTATGGACTGAGTGCAGAGCCAATGTTTGAGTAATCCCTTTTATTGGACTAAATGTACCTATTGACAAAGCAGCTTTCTGGGTATAGGAATCCATTCCTTAGAGTCAACGCCTTCCTGACCTGCAAGGGAATTTTGTGTATCCCTAAAGAACGGCTGTCAATATTGCTGCATTAGTCCAATAAAAGGGATTACTTGAAACTTGACTCTAAATTTTGTCTCACTAGTAAAGGCAAGTAATTAAAAATATTGAGTTGTGTAATGAGACACGCTGTGTATCGTGATGCACTAAAAACCATGTCCTTCCAAAATGGCTTGTTATGTTGCTTCCAATGTACACAGTAAATAAAAACAAAAAGTAAACTTCAAAAAACCACCTCAACAACCCACCAATAAACAGCAGCCAATTTCTGATCTCCGTTTTATAAACATGCAGAATGAGCAAATAGAGTCCAATGTCTTTTCTCCTTGACGGAACAGGTTGGTCAGACGACATTTCAACGTGGTTTTTGCAGAACTTTCTGACTCCCGTGCCCAGCAGTTTGCTGGTGGGCTGCTCTGAGTGTTGCACCACAGCGCAGGAGTCCTGTCCTGGGTCTGTGCTGAAAGCCATGTGTAAGGAGACCCGACACTGGAGATGCTATAAGCTGTCCAAGTTGGGGAAAGATTTGATCAGAGCTCTTTTGCTTAGGCCAATTTCTTCCAAGCCACTATGGAAAAAGCCAGCCTTGTTTCTGCCATTTTTGCTCACAGTAGACAATGCTTCCCCCTCAAATGGAGTCCCAGACAACTTTTGGCTCCTGCTTCATTACGGTTGGCAGTGGTGCAGAGGGAGAGCAGCAGCAGGGATGGCATTGGCATATGAGCTCTCCAGTGCAGGGGATCTATGATTAAAGTAGAAGAAAATGTTTGGATTCGCCATCTTGTTTTATTACATGTGAATTAATCTGTTTTCTTTCCTTTTCCCAGTTTCTTCTTCCAGAAGGAGAGGAAAGCATGCTTTTTTACTAGTTTTATTTCCTTGGGTACTTCAGAATCCTCAGTTATGACAAATTCTGCTCTGCAGTAGCTTTTGGCTTCCTTCTTCTTTGAGCTCTGTAGACCTTTGAACTGCTGCCATTACAGCTGCCTCTGAGCCTGTCACGTGGCTGCTGAATTGAGCTTTTGACTACGGCCCTGCAGCTCCCATTCCTAGCTGTTGTACTTTTAACAGTATCATTGTTTTGAATGAAATAGCACTTCTGTGCCAAAACTGGAGGTTATTTCTCCTCAGCCCATTCTGGGCAGCTGAGCATTCAGCCTGTTGGCTCCTCAGGCCAGGCCAAAGCCCTGTGCTGCATTGGCGCAGGGTTGCGCCCGACTCAATAAACTGGATTTGCATTTGGGCAAAAGTCATCTCGAAGCACTTGGCTGATTCACAGCACAGTCAGGCAGCTTGTCTCTTCCAGGAATGTACACGATGGATATGTTTGAACTGGTGGGATATAATTTAACAGTGATATATCATTATCATTACATAGCACTTCTGTCCCATTAGTGAATCAGACAGAATTGCACTGTGGTAGGCACCGCGTTCACATCCATCAGGGAACCACAATGTTAACAAACCTTCATCTTGCAGACACTTCCACATATTTTTAACTTTTTATATAAAAGCAATCAACTGACTGTGCATCTCAAGCAGATGCATAACTGTTCTATAGAGCTGGAGGTTTAGGGCTCACGGAGGCTGGTCTTTGTTTCCAACACGCATACATATCGGCAGTAAGCTCTGCTCTGAATGAATGCAATGGCAGCATTACCTAGAGCCAAAAAGCACTCGTAAGAGATCATTTGGTTACAAAAGCCTATTTACAAATTTTCTTATTGTTTAGGTAGGGCCCCTGATTGTTGTACCTAGAGCAAATATCCGGGGGAAAAAAGCAAAAATGTGCCTTTAGAGTGATGAGTTAAATACACAGAGACAGTGCTGCAGCCAGCTATCAGCAGGACAAATTTCAGAGGCAGAGCTAGAGGAAACGATTACCGGCTGATGTTTTCTACAAATGCCACTTCAGAGATGAATACAATGGCCCGCTAGATTTTGCTTTTTTATTCTCTTTGGCTTGAGTAGGAGCATCAAATTAAAACCGAA